CCGGCGGCGCTGCCGGGACGCACTCGCTCCGCTCGGAGCCGACCTTCCTCCTCCCGGGGAGCCCTCCATCCCAGCGCTGCAGCCGCGGAAAAGCATCCTCCACCCAGGCAAGTGCAGGGCAAGGTCCCCCTCCATCTCCTCCAGGCAAACAAGCCCTTCCCACGCAGCCCTGCATGTGGGAGACCCTGGAAAACCCATCCCAGAGCCACCGCGAGCAGGACACTGGTCCTGCCTCGCACAACACCTCTCCCCGGTGCGACACCGCGGCGCGGCCGGGGAGCCCAGGCACGTGCACCCGCGCCGAGGCCCCGCACGGCTCCTCGCCGGCCCTGCAGCCACAGCCCTTGGGTTGTATCGGGTCTAACCTGGTGTGGCTGCTAAGCGCAAGCTAAGGGCAAACAACGTGTTTGCCACCACACGAGTGGAATCCGTCCACTCAGAAACAATCCAAAACGGGCACTTTATGTTCAGCTTGGAACGGCAAAACTGTCTGAGCACAAGCAGATGTTTGGGAGATGGCTGGAGAAGGGGTTTTTCATGGAAGCCAAGTGACATATTGTGTAGTAAGAAAAACTAAAGCAGATCTTTGTAGTCTGGGATCTGGCCTGCAAGTACCAAGGCTCTGAGAGCATCCAGGAAAAGAAGAGCTATGTAGAAAGGGCAGCAGCGCATCCACAGCAGAGCAAAGCAGCACCAACAGGAGCTAACGGCCAGAAGAAACCCAGCAAAGCAGTGGGCAGCACAGGAACAAAGCCAGCAGCCCTGTCCTCTCCACCAGTGACAAATCGAAGTCTTGCAGGGGAGGACTAGACATTCACCCACCGAAACGGCTAACTCCTCGTGCTATCTTACTCCATTGCAACGCTGCAGATTTGCTCATGCACCGTAAGGATTAAGCGGTGTGCTACTGCTCAAACGTGCCATCCCGTGCACGTCCCTGCGTCCCTTGGGACAGGACAGCATCTCAAGGACATCCCTTAAAAGCCACAAATCAGAGCGCCCAGAAGGAGAAACTCCTGTTACCTCCCCGCCAGTGATCGCAGCCCCAGAACGCAGAAGGGCCTCAACAACATTGTATACTATATATAACTAGCCTAATTTCCAGGCATCCCTTCCCGAGCTGGCTGCTCTGCTCCCTCCGGTCTCTCCCCGGCCCCGTTAACCGCAGCGCTAACAGCAGCCTCTGTCAGGCAGCTCCATTTCAGGTCACAGAGCTGCCAGTTTCCCCCGCGCTCCGTAGCAGCGCGAGAGGATTTAAAGGGCCGCTTAGAGCCCCCCGTCGCCTCTATCGCAGCCTTCCTGCCCTTGAGTAGATCTCCAAATAAACAACGCGCTAGGCTGAGCTGGCAGGGCCCGAAGCACCGCTCTGCCCTCCAATACCAGACGGGAGGAAAAACCCACTCTGTGCCTGGGAGGCCGAGCGCTGCCTTTCCTTCTCCATCGCAGACGATACCAAGACAGGGAAGCTAACAGCGAGCAGCTGGTGCTGGGCTAGGTAGGTTTTTTGCATGACACGGCTCTGTTGAACAGCTTATCGACAGCGTTACGCTGGACCCGCTTGCCCCAAGGAGGCTGCAGTAATTACCTCCCCCGAGCTGATACAGGAAGCTGTTGTGGAAAGTAGAACATCTTGTCCTCAGGTTTTGATTTTGCTCCAGCAGCTCCTGGAAGGCTTTGATTGATAGAAAGTTATGAACTTCCAATCCTCAGGCATTGCAGCTGCTGCCTTTCCATGGAGGAAACCAAGTCCTGAGCTCATCCCTGGACCCCTCAGGGCTTTATCTCCTACTGCTGATAATGCAGAAACGCTAGTGGACAGCGCAGGGCTGAGCATCGCTGCTGGACGCAGCACAAGGAAGAGACACACTCACATCTCGGACTTCGAGGTTGTCAGGTGCTGTTCTAAAAGGAGATGAGGACTAAGCAATTGAGCAGACCACTTTCTGTAACACATCTTTTCCTCCTTATCCAGTAGATAAAGCACTCCAAGTTCAGCTATGTGGCATGGTTCAAACTTTCTGCACTACCTCCTTTCCAGCCAGCACCACAGTGTCCCAAATTCACTCTCCGCCACTTTCCAGTTCTCCCAAGTTCATCGGGATGTTACATTTTTGCTGGGATATGGATGAGGCAGAGCAGCACTCAGCCCCATCCATGCTGCTAACGGGGCTGGTCAAGACCCGCTGATGAATTGGCAGTCATTTTACTCTGAAAATTTCTTTCTGCTGCAGTTTCGGGAGAGATTGGGTGGGCTTTGGCTTTTGCATCTGAGTGGGATGAGTGGGCATGACCCAGCCCAGCCTGCAACATCTGTGGTGGGATCCATGTGTCCCCATGTAGGGGACTGGAAGTGAAATGGCTCCATCCGAGCCCACTCTGTTGTACACGTGCCACTGCCAGCCTGACCCTTCCCCAGGAGGGCTGCTCGTTAGTCAGTCCATTAACAAGCCCCCATGCCATCATGTGGGAGTCTGGGCAGGCAGTTTGTCACCAGGACAGGGTCTGGAGATGCTCTAGGTGCTAGCAAAGACTGGGCTCCCTCCCCCTCTCTTCTGAACTCAAGAGTGAAAAGGCTGCAGGCTCGATGGGAGTAAATGAGGCACAGCGAGATTTAATTATCTGCGAGAATTAATTGCACTGCCCACTCCTATTCGGCAGCAGTCTCTGTGAGAGGACTTTCTCCAGAGGGAGCCCTGCCAGCAAAGCCTCTCTTCTAAATATCTGCAGCAGCCGGTGGGGAAGCCTTGCCTGTGAGATGTCCCTGTGGTGCCTCCTCCACCAAAAGGCTGCTCTTTGCAGGGAGGATCGTGTTACCTGAGGTGACCAGGACGAGACCCGCACTCTCAACATGGGCCTCTGGACCATCTGCCCAGGGAGACCACAGGCCTCTGTGGAGGCTAAAAGAAGGCATCTTGGCTGGCACCATTAAGTGGGTGCTTACTTATTTAGCAAGTAATTCTCTGCTGTGAGAAGGAGCCCCGAAACACAGAGCTGCAACACACCTTCCCTCATGAAGCCGAACAAGACGGTGTTCCATCTTACTGAAATCCATACTCCATGCCCTGACTATGTAAATTCAACCCATGCTACAGGAGCATGAAAAACGCAGCACTGCTGAGAGCTTCAGGATCCAGCAGCTCCTGATTTCGCTAGGACAGGGATGGGGGATCCTGGCTAAGTCCAAGGAGACCAGACCAAATCACAGCACAGTCTGCTCGTGGCCATCACCTACCCACACTCCACGCTCAGCACCAGACAGCCCCGCTCAGCCTCTGTGGCCTGGAAATCCGCAGGGGGGAGTGAAGGATTCCAGCAGCCTTCCTCCCGCCAGGCAAGCTCTGCTCCTCCTCGCCGTGCTGCCTCTGCCTGACCAGGCCACCTGCACTGGGCTGCGAGAGGAACAGCTTTGATTTGTCAGCCCAGGGGGACAGGACAGCACTGCCCATGTGGCTGCGCACAAACAGGGATCCTGTGGTGGCCGCAGTCCCAAGGGACTCTGCTCTGAAACGGGAGATGTTAGAGGAAGGAACGAGACGTCCAGGTCAGTCCCTGGGGATGGTCCTTCTCCAGGGGCACCGGCCATCTCCTTGATGGACAGTCCTTGAGCTGCACTTGTTTCCTGGCTGTGTGTGCTGTGTGTATGCACAACGGTTCGTATGGGGACCTCCGCACACTCAACAACTGCTACACCAAGCCCTGACAACTCCAAAACCAGCCATGGCCAGAGAAACCCAGGCACAGCAGCTGCAACCATCAACCCGGAGGGACATGGTGACATGCTCTCTGTCCTGACAGGGCCCTCCGGGCTACTACACCACCCAGCTCCTCCTCAGCAAACTGATTTCGGAGCAGCTCTCCAGCAGAAGCCACCAGCCAAGAAGGACTTCTCCAGGCTTCTCTCAGACCTCCAGCTCCATCCTCATGCATCCTCGAGGTCTGGTTCTTCTGCACACCCTCCCCTTGCACAAATGCCACCTGAAGCTTGAAAGAAATAAAAGACCATCCTCCTGCACCCCTGGGTGCCCAGGTGCTGCCCCTCCTGTGCGTGACTCTGCAGGGCTGCTGACACCTCTCACCTGGCCTACCCACCACAAAGCAGTTGGACCAAAAAAGCCTTCCATCTTCAAGTGCTTTTCAGGCTCCACAGTCCCTACCTGAGGAGCCAAAATACAGATCCTGTGTGTGGCGAAGAGCCATCCCCGAGTTGAGACCTCAGTTCAATGCTCATATCGTGACCCTGACCTTCCTGACAGCCCTCAGCTGGCACCAGGCGGCAGGGCCGCTGCGACACGCGCACTTACAGGCATGGGGATCTTGGACAGTTCTTTGCCAATACAGTTCTTCATGATGCTCCAAAGGTTAAGGCTGTAGTTGGGTTTGTCAGGGATGCGGGTCCTTCTCCTTTTCTTTGGCAGGAGATCCTTGCAAGTTGATTCATTGTAGCTGGTTTGGTTGGAGCTGTCAAACACCTGCAAAGCAGCGTAACAAAGGCAGGTTTAAGGCCGACTCTCCCAGCAGACCCAACCCGAAACCGCCACCTCCTGGGCCTCCAGCTCTCAGTCACTGCTCGCTCACTACTCCGGGCACGCTGGTTTTGCTCAGTCACGCGCACTGCATCAAAGGAGTAACGGGGAACTGCGCGGAGAGCCCCGCAACGCTCTGCTCTCCTGCGCACGCCACCGCAGCAGCTCCCTCCCTCCCTCCGTCCCCGTGCCACACTCACGCTGTCCTCCAGGTTCCAGTCCTCAGGGTGGCCCTCGCTGGCCCCGCTCAGGTTACTGCCAGAACGCCTGCCGGGAAGAAAGCGCCGAGGATGCACGCGGGGACGGCACGGCCGCCCAGCACCTCTCCCCGCCCCAGCTCGGGTGACGCTGCCAAGGCCACCGGGTGACAGAGGCAGGGGCGCGGGGGCGCTCGGGCCGGGGGGAGGCAGGCCA